GGCATCCTGGAGCAGCCACACGCCAGCTGCAGCCGCCGTGCATGTCAGCGCTCGGTGACTGCTGCCCCCCGCACGGGTGCTCACGTCATCCCAGCGGAAGTCCACGGGCCAGCTGCGGAAGTTGTAGGTGTAGTTGGCGGTCAGGTAGATCTTGAATACGTGCACCAGCGCCTTCACGAAGCAGACGATACACATGGGCGTCGAGGCTGCTCTGCGGGAACCCTAATGCGCAGTTTCCGGGGACCCCGACCCGGCCCAGCGGGCGCTGCAGGGGCTAGCACCGCTCTGAGCTGTCCTGGGTGGTGCCTCCTCGCCTGTGGCATCTGCACCAGTCTGCTTTGTGAGTCACTGTTGCTGGGGGGAGGGGCTACACCCTGTGATGGGCTCATAAAGGGTTCCCAGGCCCTCAAGTGCTGCCCCACCCTTGGGACACAAACACCCTCCCTATGCCCTCCTTGACTATATCTCCCCCATCCCTGCTTCACCCACCTCCCCTTTAAACAGAGGTAGGAGATTCCCACACTGGAGGTAAAGGGAGCCGGGGCAGGCCCAGCAGCTCTGGGGGCAGGCTGTCTGAGCATTTGCAAAGACAAAGTAGTCTGGAGAAGCGGGGTGGGGGTTGGAGTGGGGAGTGGGGGTGGAGGGGATAAGGTGGGGGTGTCGAGGTTCCCTGCCCAGACCTGTGCTAGATGCCCCCAGCCCTCCCTGTGCACTGAGCAGCCCAGGAACTCGGACAATGCGGCTGGTGGGCCCTGCTGGAGCAGGGAGGCAGCCTGTGCTCAGGGGTGTGGCCCCCACCCCTCCACACCTTATCTTAGAAAAGGGGCGAATGCAGGTGGAAACCCCCGCCTGTTCCGGATCCTCTTTCCAATGGCACCAGCACAGCAGTGACCTTCTCCAGGTGGGCTCTTCCTGGTCAGTGTTCCTCATTTTCAGCCCCTGGTCAAGCCCTCCTCCACCTAAAACCGCCCCCACAAGATGTATCTTCCTCTTTTCTAGAAGGCTCCAGTGGGTTCCCCTTTTTCTCCACCAGAGTGGGCCAGTCCACCAGAGGGTAAAGGTGGCAGGGTAGAGGCCACAAGGGGAGCCAGGGAAGAGCCAGACAGGGGCCTCATTCAACCGTTGCCTGGACCTGAAACAGGAATTTGGCAAAGCTAGCCAGCCTCCTGCAGCCCAAGAGCCTTCTGGGGAGAGGTTCCCGGACCAGTAGCCCTCTCTGTTTCCCTGTGTGTCTGGGTTGTAGGCACAGCAACCCAGTCAGCCCCACCACGTTGGGAAGCAGAGCTGAGAGCATTCCTGCCCTTAGGGGGTGGAGGGCAGTATGGGTCAGTGGGCAAGGAGGCTGGGTTGGGAGGGTTGACTGTCCCCTAGGGTTTCCAGATAAAAGACCGAATACCCAGTTAAATTTGAATTTCAGATAAAGAGCAAATACTTTTTGAGTATAAGTATGTCCTAAATATTGCATGGGACATACTAGATATCCTGTTTGTCAGTTGGTTTTCGCTAAATCTGGCAACTCTACCCCCTGCATCCACCCCCAGCTGGAGAGACCCAGATTTCCCAGCTCTGCTTCCAGATTGGGCTGCTCTGCTCATTGGCCAGGGCCTGAGGCCCAGATAGTGTCTCAGGGCCCACGGGTGCACCTGGGCAACGGGCCCCTTCCTGTTCCTCTGCCCTGCAACCACCCCATCTCTTCACTGCCCTAAGAGGGAGCCCCCTGGGCACCACAACTGGGTCAAAGGAT